GGATGCTGACAATGGAACAATGGATTTATGCGGGTATAAAAGCTAAAGCTTGACAAGTCCCGTAGGGTGATCAGTGCGAAAATCATAGAAGTGTGAAAAATTCAATGGAAACCAATTCAGTAAAATCGTTTAACAACGAGTCACTACAAGCTTGTGGACTCACCGAGTTTGAAGTGTCAAAATAATAATCCACTATAACTCCGGAGGGGATCATGAGATATGGAGAGTATTTGGTTAAAAGAGTCACCGCCCCTTGAAATTCGCATGGGGCAACGTGTTTGAGTTTGAAGAGACAAAATATGAATCCATTGTTGAAATAAGCGTGGGGGAAAATTATTTTTAAAGTATGGATTTTGACGTTGATGATAATTATGATGGTGATTATGATGATGACGATTATTATTATGACGATGATGCTGCTTGATGACGATGATGATGGTTTATTATGATGAAGAGGATGAGGCTGATGATGATGCTCATGATGATATGATGATGACGATGCTGCTTGATGATGATAACGATGGTGTGTATGATGATTATTATTATGACGATGCTGCTGCTTGATGACGATGAGGTTGCCTTATTATGATGAAGCGAATGATGATGATGATGACGATGAAGCTGCTTGATGATGATGCTGTTGATTGATGATAGTGATGATGATGAGGATGATGATTATGTTGCTTCATGATGAGGATGATGCTTGATGATGATAATGATGGCGATGATGATGATGCTGATGATGATTATGATGTGGATGATAATGATGATGCTTGCTGACAATTATGATGAGGATGATGAAAATGCTGATGGTGATGTTGATGATGATGAGGATGATAATGAAGAAGATTTTGGTGATGATGATGAGGTGGATGATGATGATGAAGATGAATTGGAGGATGATGATGATGCTTGATTAGTATGATGATGAGGATGATTATTGTGATGAATACTGAACACTGGTTTGAGGCAGCTATAAAGCTTCTGTGTGTAGCTACATCCGAGGTCACTCATGGACAAATACCTGTTCTATTGGGTTCTGCTCTCTATATTTTACATCTGCAAAATGTTTGTCAAGGGACTTCTTAAAGTCCGACGCTGAGTTTGCCTCTACTACGTGCTGTGGCAGGTCGTTCCATACATTCACCACTCTGCGTTCTAAACAGAGTTGGTGAGCGACCCGCGTCAAATCCGGCACGACAAGCTTATACCGGTGTCCTCCTGTGCTGCTTGTTTTGCGCAGATGAAGCAGTGGTCTCAACATCGGGTAATCACCCAGATGTAATATCCGGTGTGTCATGATGAGGTCAACCCTCATTCGACGATAAGCTAGGGTGTACAACCCTAGTTTCTTACACCGGTCTTCGTACGGCACACCACGTAAGTTAAGAATCAGCCTGGTGGCTACATGTTGCACTTGCTCAAACTTTTCTACCGCACCCCGGGTGTTAGGACAATCCGCGGAAGAGCCATACTCTAGCATTGGTCGTATTATTGAGACGAAGAGGCGAGTGGCAATCTCTTCGGACCAAGTGCTGAAGCTGCGCCTGAGCGCCCAAAGCATACGAAGGCTGTTTTGGTAAATCCTATTCGTATTGTCCATGGACTTTAGGTCGCAGCGTGAGAGTACACCGAGGTCGCGCACAAAAGGCGCGGGATGCAACGGTTGACCAGCCACCGTGTATGTTCGACTGTGCTCACACTTACCCAGCCTCATGAATTGCGACTTGACCGGGTTGATCGGAAGGTTGACCACTGCAGACCACGTGGAGAGGCGGTCGAGGTCCTGCTGAAGCAAATCACAATCATTGGGTGTTCGGATTACTCTCCACACCTTCAAGTCATCTGCGAACAACGCACAAGGTGATTGGAGTAGCTGAGGCACATCGTTTACATGGATCAGAAACAATATCGGCCCCAGTACAGTGCCTTGGGGCACGCCGCTGCTCGATGGATACCAGTCGGTTAAATGGTTGTCAACCTGGACCCTCCACTTTCGATCAACAAGGAAATTCCTGATCCATTGGTGTAGTGAACCACCAACACCGCACATCCTCAGCCTGTCGAGGAGTACTGCATGATTTACCTTGTCAAAAGCCTTACTGAAGTCAATGTAAATGACGTCGACTGATTTGCCTTGGTTCAGCGCTTGTAACCATTCGTGCCTCGTCAACAGTAGGTTGGTGATGCACGAGCGACCTTTCACGAAACCATGCTGTGCGGGCGTCAAGAGGCTTTTCGACTCGAGAAGCTGCAGAAGGCTCTTCTTCACGATCTTCTCGAGCGTCTTTGCCAAAACAGCGGTCAGGCAGATCGGCCGGTAGTTATCCACTTTGCTTGGGTTACCACCTTTCGGTATTGGCTTTACAACTGAGCATTTCCAGTCGCCCGGTACTAGTCCAGTGGATAGTGACCTGTTGAACAGCTCAGTTACCGAAGGCGCAATGATGGCCGATAGGGACTTGAGGATCAGTGGGTGGATTCCATCTGGCCCAGCAGGCTTCGTCCCATCAAGATTTGCTAGAAGCTTGCGTACATCTTCAATACTGCAGTCTAGGCTGTCAAGTTCAGCGGGAGCGGTACTCGTCGAACTCGTTACAGACACCTGGTCACTTGCAAATACAGAGGCGAAGTGCGCCGCCAATGCGGACGCACGATCTGTACTCGAGGTCAGGGGCTGTCCATCGGAGCCTTCTAACACTGGGACATTGGCTGCAGGCCTCAGGCGCCGCTTCACGTATGCGAAGATTCTCTTGGGAGCAGTTTTTGCGGCGGCTGCAAGCTCCTCTTCGAAGCTTCTGCGTTTTCTTGTTTTCGCGTTGTTGCAGCGATTTCGTTGTACCTTGTACGCCTTGTAGTCCTCATCAGAGCCAGATAACACGAATTTGTTCCATAGTCTGCGTCGTCGTCGGGCCAGTTTGCTGTACTCTTTGTCGAACCAATGTGGTTTGACTGGCCCAACTTTCCGATATTTGAGGGGTACAAATCGGGCGCACAACGATTTCACTCCCTCTTTAATGATAGTCCAACAGGTTTCAATAGACGAATCCTGTGGTAAAGACCAGTCTATCTGGCTCGCTGCTCGAATGAGGCCATTAAAGTCCGCCTTCCAATAGTTGAAGGCTGGCTCCAGTGGGGGAGAATACGGCAGCTGTAGTTCCAAGCTGGCTATGATCATCGAGTGGTCACTCGCTCCCAGAGGCTCTAAGACTTGAATGTCATGCACACGTTGCTCACAACTAGTCAAAAGCAGATCTAAGCACGATGGAGTCGCGCGCGCAGTTATGCGTGTCGGTTGGTTGATGTGCTGTGTGGCCCCGGTTTCAAATATCAACTCCGTAAACTTCCTCTCGACTTCACAGTGGCCGGGGAGAAGTTCAGCCTCAGACCACTGTATCGGGGGTAAGTTGAAATCGCCCATGAGTAGGAACAATTGGCGACACATGTGGTTGCGGACCTGCGGCAACCAGTCCAAACAGCGGCTCAGTGGATTGCGATATACCACACCCACAAGTAACTCGCAGCGTCTGAGGTGAATGGAACACCATAACTGCTCACATAGACCATCAGCGCTTTGGTAGGCGCTTACTAGTCTCCCACACAAGGAGGTTTATGTAAAGTAGAACGCCACCGCGATCTTTTGATGGTCTATCACAGCGGAAGCATGAGTAGCCATTGATTTCCACTTCTTGGGCGGTTATGTCGGAGTTTAACCATGTCTCAAAAAGGCCTAATACGTCTGGTCGCTGAGAGCTTACAAAGTAGTACAGCACATCACGCTTGTTCATCAAACTACAGAAGTTAGTAAAGGCTACGCGCAGACCGCGGTAGGAACCGTTGAGCGCGCCTGAAGCATCAGAAACCTGTTGATCCGGATTCGCGGAGGAATCCGGGTAACTACCCGAAAATTTACAATACGGAGATTTGTTTCTCCATCGTCCTTGCGTCGCTTTAGTTCAATCATCGCAGACTTGAGTTTCTCTCTGTCTGCTGGGTCTAAGTCAGTGCGCACGTGGATTTTTAGACCTTTAAGTCTGTGAAGACGGGAGAATAGAAGCTTAGGACTGGCATCCTCGACAAAAGTCACCCTCATAGGTCGACTTTTGCTCACGATTCTCTTTCCTAGAAGGGCGATCTGTTTCACTTTGAGCCCGCCCTCATCTCCGTCGAGCAGCCTATCAATCAGTGATTGCAAAAACTCGACGTCATGTTCATAGCGCACCTGAGGACTGGAATCACATGATTCAAGTGCGTGAAAGATCACGAGGCTGCGGCACCTCAGGTCGATAGACATGGCTCTTGGTTACTTTGGTGTTCGCATTTTCCATTCGTTACAATCAATGTGCTTATTGCAAATTGCAGCTTTACTGTCAACAGAAGAAATCGTAGGCCTTGAGCGCGAGGCCGCCGAAGCGCTAGTACTTTGCTTCAAGGATGGATAAGATGTTGTACTAAGCGTTGGCTGTTTCTCTGACTGCGGTGCCCTACAAATCCAGCTGGGCAGTTAAGAGCGCTTCACTTTACTGATCCGCTTGTTAGACTCTTCCGTTCTATTCTGCCAAAGTTTAGACTGGCATTGTTTACAAATGGGCATCACAAAATCGTGTTGAATCCCTTGCATTACACGAAATCGGTCTACAGACCGACCAATGATGATGATGATGCTTAATGATGCTGATGCTGATGAGGATGAGGATGACGATGCTGCTGCTGATGATGATGACGAAGATTGATGATGATTGATGACGATGGTGATGATGACGATGATGATGATGATGATGGTGGTGATGATGATGATGATGATGATGATGATGATGATGATGATGATGATGATGATGATGATGATGATGATGATGATGATGATGATGATGATGATGATGATGATGATGATGATGATGATGATGATGATGCTGCTGCTGCTGCTGCTGCTGCTGCTGCTGCTGATGATGATGATGATGATGATGATGATGATGATGATGATGATGATGATGATGATGATGATGATGATGATGATGATGATGATGATGATGATGATGATGATGATGATGATGATGATGATGATGATGATGATGATGATGATGATGATGCTGCTGCTGCTGCTGCTGATGATGATGATGATGATGATGATGATGATGATGATGATGATGATGATGATGATGATGATGATGATGATGATGATGATGATGATGATGATGATGATGATGATGATGAATGTGATGCTGCTGCTGCTGCTGCTGATGATGATGATGATGATGATGCTGATTGAAGGTGATGATGATGATGATGATGTGATGACGATGATGATGATGATGATGATGTTAATGAGGATGATGCTGATGATGATTGAATGTGATGATGATGATGATGATGATGATGATGATGATCGATGATCGATGAGGATGACGATTGACGATGATGATGATGATGATGATGATGACGACGATGTTTAAGATGATGAGGATGAGGACGATGATGATGATGGTTATGACGATGCTGTTGCTGATGGTGATGATGGTGAGGATGATGGGGATGATGATGATGATAATGATGAGGATGAGGATGATGCTGATGAGGATGATGATGATGATGCTTGATGCTGACGATGATGATGATGGTGTTGATGATGCTGAGTATGATGATGCTGCTGTTGCTGCTGATGATGATGATGACGACGATGATGATGGAGCACATTGTGCTCAGGCCCTTATGAGGTTGGGGACGACTATCGACTTACTTCAAGTTGACGGAACTTCATTTATTGACCAGACTTATAAGAACAAGGCAGTGAGTACTCGTACCAGCGAATACCTTCCAAGTTTCATTAAGGCAAGAAGTGGACCAAGATGGCCGGGTACTTTATGAAGCCTCATTAGGCGGTTTTGGCCAGGTCTGCTGATGAGAGAGAGGATCAAAGGGAGTGGACCACGCAGCACCAGTGCGCGCTCCAGAGGAAGCAGATGTGGCTGGTGGCCAGCAAAACTGTGAGCAAAACTATTCAGCTTATCGTTTCAACCGTCTTTAACGACTAGCGATCAGTGAGCCATCCTTTTCGCAGATTGTTTTGCTTACATCAGATCGCACACCTTCGGTGACTCGGATGCGATGGAAATGTTGTTTAGTGGTACATGAGAGACCAGAAAGTTCCCTTTTTCTAGCACGTTCCCACCACCACGCTCTATGGTCCGTTTGTAAACTTCTGCGCAATTCTCGATTCAGCGCTCAGCATTCTACACTACAGTAGGCGTCGACCAGAACCGAGCGGCGTCTGTTAATCAGTGACGAAGAGACAGCGGTGCTCCAGGTTTTTGGCGGGTGACAGGCAACTACACAACTGTCACTTCTGGCGGTAACTAAGGTATCTTTGAACCGTACCCAGTGTGAAATCAGATTGTTGCGAGAAGCTGATATAAGCTGTGTGGATATAGAGGCCTGGTAATTGGCTAATATAGTTGGGTCTCGTATATTTTCAACGTTCGGTTGGTAGTGCTTACGCCTAGGCGGTTCTCCGAAATGCATGCAAACCTTAGTGCGAACCAACGACTGATTGGGGTCCAGACAAGTGGATCAGTACGATCAGCAGACTGCTAGATTTCCGCACCATCTGTACGTTATAGTTATGTGGTCAAGAGGGAGCCAGGTAGCAGTCTGTCTCTTCGAGGCTTGAAAACTGGAGCTCGAAAGAAACAAGCGGTAATCGGAACAAATAGTCAGTAGTCTGTCTTCATTATCTACTGGACTGCTACCTAGGCCAAAATTACTCCTAAGATGGTGTTCGCTTCTTAACAGACGGTCCACTCAGAGTTAAAATCCTCGGCAAAAATGATGATGTGGGACTTTTTGGAGGAACACAGATCACGTAGCTGTTGGTAAAAGCAAGGCTTGACTGCATTCGGGCCAAAGCCTGTAGCAGCGTTGGCGGAGACGACAGATAAAACAGGCTTAACATCTATACACTTCCTTAACTTACATATATCTCGAAGTTTGACCGCACACAGCCGATTGCTGACTGGGATCTAGTCAAGCACAACTGTCTCGACCATGTCACTCAAGGAAATCCCAACACCAGCGTGGCAAGAAGCGGCTGCCACTGGGTCCCTGGAGAGGCGCAAATAGAAGTTGACGTCAGGGTTTGCCAGAGAGGTCATTCTGATGACAGGACTGCAGTCTCGCAATCTGTTTTTCGAGAGAGCAGATACCTACCATGAGCGTCTCATAGGTGCGGGCCAGGCAAACTCATTGTCCGGTCGCAATGAGGCTGGAGCTTACCGTGGTGCGATGGTTTATGTGCCTCAGTGATCCATTGAGCTATGCTGGGTGGTGTCTTTTTCCACCTTCAGAGTGACTCAAACCAGATTGCTTAATGGTTAGAGGCCAGAAAAACTCAGCTTCCTGGTCCTCCAGGTAGGGGGTTGGAATGTGGGTGGCACCTTATTATTTAAAACGGACTCCTTATAGCCCAACGCCAAACCCGATGCCTTGCGGTCAGGTTTTTGAACCAAAGGCTTTGGTTGGGAACACTAATCGTTATCCTGTCTAGGCCTGGGCAACTTGACAGTATTCTGCCTACGTAATACAATGAATCACTCTTCAAACAAATTTCTGATGCCCTGGCCACCACAGAGGATAATCAACTGTGCCCTATCTGCTGCATCGAGCAGAGTGGATAGGGGTTTGGATGCTACTGCTCAAGCCTTCCCGTCTTCTTATTCCCCTTTCACGTTTTTTCACCCTCATCGTCCCGTTCCAACTTCACTTTTATCCCCCATGTTTTCAATATCCCGATTCTTGGCCTTGTCCAAACATGCTTCGAAAGGCGTTTATATACTAATTTCAACTTACATAC